CCAAAAACAGGGCTAAGCTTTCTCTAGAAGATCTTGGACATTTTTGGTGCTCCTCCTCCCTCTACTAAGTCATCTTGTTTCTAGTGGTGTTTGTGACTCCATTAGAGGTGCAACATTTGAGGCACTAAGCTTTTAGAAGTCAAGATCAAGAAGGATTGTGATTGCTATTGCTACATAACAATCAAGGTAATGTTTCTAACCCTAATCTTATGTCAATTTCGATAATAGCATGTTAGATCTAGGGTTTATGCTTTGGTATTCAATGTTGTTGTGTTCATATTAGAAAACCTAGATCAAATCAATTAGGGTTGCATGTACACCATAGGACTGATGTAATGCTCATAACCCAACATGTCTTAGTCTACTGCCTCGGGAACCCCCCGAGGTCTTCCATGCAAATGTCATACTAACATAACACATAATCAGCTAGCATATCACATATCATAAAATGCGCCGGTCTTAGTGCCTTAGACCCATTGGTATGGTGAGGAGACTCACCTGACACTGCTGAAGTCTCGCGGATAAAACTCTAGCTGCTGGTTGACAGATTCTCGAACTGTCAACATCAAAACAACACCCAATTAATAATTGGGTTCCAATACACAACCATAATCTACACTTGGGGTAAATGGACCATTTTACCCCTAACCTAGCTTGGTTCAGAACCAAGGCCCAAACTCACACCCTAAAGGCCCAAAAGCCCAATAGTCAACCAAGGCCCAACATATGGCCCAATTTTCCAAATTGGGCCCAAATCTCTACATAGACTTATTTTAAGGCCCAACCAATTATTCTAGTCCAAACAATTGGCATTCGGATGGCCCCATAGCTAATAATCCTTAAGGCCCAATTATGGCCCACTTATGGCCCAATTTTCCAAATTGGGCCCAATCCCCTCTAATGGGTAATATCATGAAGCCCAATCATTTCCCGTAGTCCGTAAATATGTTCCCAATTGGCCCACAAAGGCCCACAACAGCTTAGTCCAGAAAATGGCCCAACAAGCATCCAAACCCAATTAGGGTTTTTAACATAAAATGACGATTAGGGTTAAGTGTTCCTACTTAGCCCATTAAGGACTTAATCCATTAAGTCCAAACATACAATGAAATCGAGCTTGAGTCATAACTTCACTCTAATGGTCCAAAATGCGGATCCCAAGAAGTCCAAACCAATAATCCCAAAATTAGGGTTTTTCTAAACCCTAATTAGGGTTTCCAACCCAACAATAGTCCAATAGGCCCAAAACGAAGTCCTTAGATCAATTAGAGCTTCATTAGGCCCACTAGGGTCCCATAACGCCCATTAGGGTTTCATAAGGCTGGCACTAACCACTACCACCTCGGGTAGTGGTGGTCGACGGTGGTTCACGGCGGCGGCCACCACCTCACGATGGTGGTTACGAGTTTCTTTTATTATTATTCCGGCACGATTACACTTTACAAATAAAAATCCGAAGTAATACACACACACTAATACAAACACACACACACACAACCACCCTAGTGGTGGCCGACGGTGGCACATGGTGGCAGCCACCACCTCACGGTGGTGGCGGTGGCTTCCTTGGTTTTTCGACTAAACAGAATACACACTAACGATGGAAAGCACACCCACACACTTGTTTTGACCGGAACAGGAGCTCATCCACCCTTATGGTGGCGTTTGGCGATAGCAGCAATACGGAAAGGCAGCAGCAGCAGCGTTTTGCGATGACAGCCACCACCTTACGGTGGTGGCGGTGGTTTCCTTTGGTTCCCGGTCAAGCAGCCACACCAACGATGGGGTGACTACCCAACCCTCATCTACACGTCCTTGCTCGGAGATAAATACAACCATCCACCTCACGGTGGTGTACGGAGAAGACAACGCCATTGGAAGGCAGCCACAACAGCTTCTAACGACGGTTCACAACCCACCTTCGCTCCACGTTCCGCCGCTGGCCTTCGGTGGACTTCCCGGATGTACGCTGCATTCCCGGAAATGGTGGTGTTGCTACGATGGCGAGATAACGGTGACGGATGCGGGCTTCCATGGTGGCGACGACCAGAAGTGAAGAAGGGGGTGGCGGTTGTTAGAAGAGGGAGGCATAAGGGGGGCGCGACTGAGTGTTCTAGGATTAGGGTTTCGTTGGCCTTATATACCCGGTCACCCAAACTTATTGCCATAATGGCAGAAATGGTCCCTCCCCATGACATTTTCATTCAATCTTAATCCAATATTTACCATTTAAACCCTCCCCTCTAAAATCTCTTCAAATGAAGTCCATAATTTACTCCTTAGCCCCTGTTTCGATACATTCTTTCATTTTAAGACCAAATGATACCAAACACACCCTGACTTCTAAAAATCTTTACGACATAAATCCTGAAATTACACTTTAACCCTCGAAAAGTCCAAATTATATTATTTGGCTCCCCGAAACCAACACCCCGCTATTTTTAGGGCTATTATAAAATAATATAAATTATAAATTTACATCTTGGAGTTCCAGGTTTATTATTAAATTATTCTATTTCAAACGGAGTGTTACACTAATCTATTCATTTTTTCAATGTTCTTGAAGATGGTACCGTGTATATGGATTGATAAATTCTTAATAATCAAAACGAATCACGATGGATCATTTAGAACCGAATACCGCCATGGAAAATAGCTTGTAAGAGAATATAAAGCCAGCTGAAACGAGTATGTCTTCATCTTCTCAACTGGTTGTTAACTTAAAAAACTAAGATCCATATTTGAAATGGCCCGACATTACATAAAATGGAAATTTGATATGATAAGACAAATATGATGGTTGATTTTTCGAGAGCCTATTTTCCGATATTTTCATCTTTTACATGAAGAATTTGTAGTAAAATGGTGCATAGGTAAATTCCATATGGAAATTTTAATTTAGCACTTTCAAGTTTAATTTTTTAATATTATGAATTTTTATCTTAAATGTAATGGACTTTGTAAAAGATGTCTTAACTACACCCTTTCTGACTTATTTTGGATAATACTTTAAACCAAATGTGTGTAAGGCTCTTGGTAAAAGGCTTTTGTTTGATCACAAAATTGCTAATGACTTTAGGCGATCATTATTTCATTTTGGGACAAGAATAAACTATCAGATATTTAGTTTATCTACTTTTTCATGGGTTCTTATTTAATTATGCAAAGAGTTTTGCTTTTTAACACATTTATCGTGCATTGTATTTAATGTGTACCAAAAGTTGAATTCTTTTGTTGGTTTATAGGAAAAATACATCTAATTGTACCCAAGGGCTTACGATTACAAAAATGTGAAGAGCTTCGATGGAAACAAGTATCCATGGAATCCCCAAATCAAGATATCCATCTTTATGGTTCTTGGGTAATTATGATGTATATAGAGAAAGGGTGATAGGATTAGATGTGAAATTTTAAATAATAATCCTCAAATAGGGCTGACAATGTATTATGTTCCTAAAAAGATTTCAAAATTTTACAATTATTATTTGTAAAATATTAAATAGTGTCATATGGTGTCTAATGGAAAATTTGATTTCTCTTTATCGTTTTGTAACTTTTGTGTATTGGCAAAAAAAAAAAAAAAAGTTTTACAAGACTTAAAGGAGTGAAATGTGCCCTTTTTTATCATGGAAAATTGAGTTACATAACTGAATATGGAGAGCAATTGGGAGCCAGTGTAATAATCACAAATTTGACTTAATTTTCAAGTAAAGTCACTTTACATGTCTCTTGAATTTTGAAACCAATTGCTATATATGTTGATTAATTTTTTCCAAACTCAATAGAATAGTTTTTTAAACATATTTATGAAAGTTATAGTTATTTATAAAATAACATAAATTTCCAGAAAAAAGGGTGGGGTTATTCCAATGCCTACTATTTTTTAAAAAAATGATCGCTTGTGTAGATTCTATTTAAATCGGTACCATTTATATCATTGTGTTATTGTGTATGTGTGTATGTGTGTGTGTGAATTTCTGATTTTTTTTGTGAAAAATAAAATAATATTCATATTTATAGCAATGTTTTGTCGAGCTTTCTGGTGGTTAATTTTAGCTAATAAAATATTTTGCCTTTAGAAAAAGTTATTTTAGAAAAAAAAATTGTTTCCTCCATGTCATGGACTTTGAATGGAAGTTCATGGTTCAAATTAGAAGAGCATCAAATTTTTACCATATTTATTATAAGTCGTTTCAAACAAATAATATAATTTTTTGGGTATGTTAAAATTTCTTACTTTTGTTATATTTTTTTTTTTGAAAGAGAAATTTCTTACTTTTGTTGCTAAGAGGTATATTGAATGACTAATTATATAACTAGAACATGACTAATTATATACTTAGAACGTAGTACTTTGAGGTTTTTTACGAAAACAAAGTTTCTTTTAGATTTGCAGTTGGCACCTTGCGACAAAAGGCAACAACTCTAAACGACAAAGGTAATGCACAATCAATCATATGTTCATTTACATTTGTAAACAATCTCAACTTTTCAATTTTAATTCTTATTGATTTTTTTTTGCTATAATGACTCTTATTGATAATTGTTTGAATTTAGTAAACAATTTGCGCAAAAACACTAATCGCCCTTAGAAACTAATTTCCGAAATAAATTATTCACACCGGTTGCTTGGCGCGGATAAACGGCTAGTGTGTGTGTATATATATATATATATATATATATATATATATATATATATATATATATATATATATATGGTTTCAAATGCAACGATACTCAACTTTTATCAATAAAATCGTCAAAATTCAATGTACAAAACGTATTTACGCACTCGCAATGCACAAAGAACAAATTACTAGTTTTGAATTAAATACTAGATTTTTGGCTATATTTTAGAGTAAAGATTGAGCTAATTTTATCTTTTTCTTTAATTTTATGTCACTTTAGTTTATTTCTAAATTTTAAATACATATTTACTAATGGGCCAGAATGTACAAGTCCAATTCTAGAATACGTTTTAAGTTTTTGGCCACGGGATGTTAACCGACCCGTGGTTCTTAACTTGTTATACACTTGAGAGAAAAACGGTAGCAGAAGCAGGAAAACCGAGACGGCGGCCGGAGCGATCCCATCGCCGAGCCATACACAGGTTCTTCCGCAAATTTTTATCATTCTCAATGGTGGGTTATGAACACCCTCCCTTAATTGGAGTTCTGTTTAATTACTCTGATTTGCCCTAATATAATGAAATTTTATTGATTTGTGTATCAAAATTGTTCTTTTAAAGTTTTGATCTAAATTGATCGGACTTTAGAATTGTGAATGCACTACTGAGTTTTTCGATTTTTACAAACCAAGACATTTTCGATACATCGATGAATCTAATTCGCTCGTTTTCGAAGATGATTATATTCACTGATCGATTTTGAGAAAATTCTAGTGAAAACAAGTGTTGCTCTTATTTATTCAAGGATCAATACATATAAAGGCTGCTGTTAAAGTGATCGTAGATGTATTGATGATAAACTAGCGCTCTTATATTTGTATGAACAATGCACTTACACTCATGTTTAAGTAATTGATCTGTGTTTTCTTATCTTAGGGTTGCGTAATTTGCTTACATTTGGTGGAATAACTTTGTGCTGGTTATAATCATCAATTAGCTTTAGGTTTCTTTGTGGTGATTTGACATGCGTTTCATATATGTGAACATCCAGGTTGCCATAGGCTATCCAGATAGTTTAGTAAACAGAAAATGTTTATGAAAACCAGGTGGCTGATAATTGATAGACAACTGAAGAGAAACATCTCTAAAAAGCTTTTGAAGATCAACAGGAAGAAGCAAAAAACAGAACATTCATCTAGTTTGGGCAATCAAGTGGGACACAGTAAGAAGCCAAACATACAAAACAAGAAAAGTATCCCAAGTTATTCACCATTCACAACTAACAGAAAGTCAAAGAGAAAACTTTCATCCATCTTTAAGAAAGTAATCAGTAGTAGAAAGAAACGAAAGATGGAAAAGATTGATAAAGTAGATGAAGTAGTTGAACCCATTGACCGAATCTCAGAACTGCCCGAACCCATTATCCATCACATCCTCTCTCTTCTCCACTGCCCGAGAGACGTTGCCCGAATCACTGCATTATCTAAAAAATGGAGGTCAATCTGGGCTTCATTTTTCTTCTTTAACTTTGACCAAAAGAGGTTTAAAACATCAGGAGGAGACCACACTGAGAAATTCATAACTTTTGTTGACAACTCCTTAGCATCCAAACTTGATCCAATGATCAGGATACACAAATTCAAGATTTCTTTATCTCAAGTTAATCCCAAGTTGAAACTTTACACAAATAAATGGGTATATTCAGCTATAAAAAGGAATGTCAAAGAACTAGAGATTCATGTTGAAGAGAAGAAAAAGAAGCATTACATGTTACCAAATTTCATCCTCACTTCCTCTACACTAACTTCACTAAGGTTATCTGGTTGCAAGTATGATAATGAGATTGTCATTAATCTACACAATTTAAAAGAACTTTCCATAAAAAACTCTCATGTAGATAAAAATGTGATCCCGAATTTTATTCGTGGATGCCCATTGGTTGAAGATCTAAGACTAGTACATTGTACAGGAATAGGCCATCTGGAGATATCAACTCCAGTTAAGCTAACCAGGGTTGAGTTACACGAGTGCCATGGACTTGTGTTGATCAACCTTGAGGTTCCTAGTCTTACAAGCTTTTTATATATTGGGAAAAAGTCATGGTTTTGTGAAATAAACATAGGAGATTGTGAAAATTTGAAGTGTTTGACATTGAAAGATTCAAATCTTACAGATGAGGAGTTTCAAGATATGATTACAAAGTTCCCTAACCTTGAAAAGATAGCTTTAAGAGAATGTGATTATCTTGAGAGAATAACCATATTGAGTATGAAACTCAAGGAATTATCTGTGATTAGATGCAAAAATGTAGAAGAGGCTAATATTGATGCACCAAATCTGTCTGTGTTAGAGTATTTTGGTGAGAGGATGCCATTTTCTTCCATGAGTGTTGGAAGTTTGTGTGAGGCTAAACTAAATCTACAAAATAAAAAAGACAATTTTGTCCCTTTGAAGGAGTTGCTGATCTTTTTGATGAAGTTTAAGAGGAAAGGAGATTGGAAGATGGTTGTTAGCTCTAATAAGGTATTTTAATGTTATTATTATTATTATTTTTAGTGAATGAATATTCATTTGGTTTTATGGTGTTTGAAGAATGTTACTATTCATGAAGACTTGAAGAACGTTCCATATCTGACATCACATGATCTGAAGCTAGAACTTATAAAGTCTCCTGTGAAGGTGAAGGGGTATATTGGTAATTTACTACGAATGTCTCGACCAAAGACTTTGTCGTTGGTTTCATCTTCCAGTAGTGAGTTTTTAAAGGTAATCTTAGTTTAGCCTCTAGGGAATGATTTGATTTTCCTAATTATATATATAGTTATATATATTTACAATAAACAAAAACACATAAACATAAATAAAAAAGTCTATTTTATTTAAATTGTATTACTGAATTCTATTCCACTTGTTCTAACCAATATTATTTAAATTTTCTTATAGTTTGTAAAGGAGAAGATAATGTCAAGAGAAAAGAACCCAAAATGCTGTACATATTACTCAAAGAAATGCTGGCTTCATTTCATTAAAGATGTCAAAATGGTGGTTTTTGAAGGAGATGAAACATCTCAAGAACTACAACAAACTACTTTCCAATTTACATGGAAATCATAGATCTACATGTTAAAAATTGTGTTATTTAGAAATACATTATGATGCAATTAGCATGGAATGAATGTTTATTTAACACAATTAGTAATATTTATTTATATAAATCGTTTTTGTTCTTCATAAGTTTATTAATCCAACCAAGGTATATATGCAAAGGAAAAGCAAGAAGCCACTATCCTTTTTTATTCCACTAACTACGGCAGATGTTTTTTGTGTGGAATCTGAATTAGAATTGGAATCGGATTCGGATTCGTACTTTGTTTGCTCTATATATTGTCAGCAATTTGTGTGCTAAGATTATTATTATATGTTTTCTTTACATCAATTTCTTGGACTCACTCACCATGGTATGAAATCATTTTACTTGTTAATATTTTTGAAAACATGTTTGAATCCTATTTGAATAAAACAGGATAAGAGTATACAATTAGGACCATGGGGAGGAAATGGAGGGTGTTCTTGGAATGATGGAGTCCATAGTGGTGTTCGAGGAATTAGTATTGTATATGGAAGTTGCATTGATTCAATTTGTGTTACTTATGATAAGTTTGGGAAACCATTTTTGGGTGAAAAACATGGAGGAATGGGAGGAACTAAAGCTGCTCAGGTACATTTTGGCCCTTTGTTTACAGGTGAAAGTATAGGTAGTGTTTGGTATGCAGTAATAACGAGAGAGTGAAATTGAAATATAACGAGTGTAAAAGAAAACGTTATTAATGCAAGAATCAAAATTGGCAAAACCTATTAAGGGAATAAGTGGTTGAAAGTAACGGCTTAAAAAAACTGTCATCTCCAATGATAAATCGATGTCAAAACGCTGTATAAAAAGCTACCATTAGAGATGTAAAAAAGAAATATAAAACATTTTTTTATAATTATCTTTTAACATTTCATGTCTCATGGTTTAAAAAAGTGTGTGAGGCATACAACTCGATGCGAGATGGTGTAAAAACTTCTTTAAATTTGTTTTCAGTTTAATTATGATTTTCTATATACTTTTATTAGTTATATATTATATACCGTCTCTAACTTTTGCATTGGTTGAGGCGAAGGGAAAACGCCTCGTGGCACAATTCAGGAATTTGAAACCTTGCATGGTATTTGATTTGGGATTTTAAAACCTTACATGGTATTTGATTTTATTTTCATAAAGTGGTAAATAAACCTTTTTTTTTTGTTGGGGGGATTCTTTGAAATATTCAACATGTATTTTAAAGGATATGAAATATGTTTTATGTAGCAATAGATCATGTTTTTTTTTTTTCAAAATATATTCTTCATAAAATAAAATATTTTTAATTTTTAAGCAATGTATCTTGTTTAATTAAACTTTATTTTCATAAAATAACATATTTTTTTATTGTGAACAACGAACATATTTAAATTATTCATTTCATTCCTTCAATCTAAACAAATATGATAACATAATGTAACAATCAGTTTATAATGTTGTTTATTCTTTTCCATCGTAACAACTAGCCATATCAGCTTACTAAATATTAATTATTATATTCAGATTAAGTTGCAATTTCCCGAAGAGATTTTAATTAGTGTTAGTGGACATTATTGCCCTGTGGTGTACGGAGGTGGCCACGTGATTCGATCACTTACTTTTAAGAGCAACCAAAGGACATTTGGACCATTTGGGGTTGAAGAAGGGACACCCTTTAATTTTATGGCAAATGGAGGTCTTGTTGTAGGGTTTTATGGAAGAAGTGGATGGTTTTTGGATTCAATTGGGTTTTACTTATCGAGTCCTAAAGTGAGCCTCTTTCAAAGAGTCCAAACCATGTTTCAAGGGCTTAATGCTTTTGCTATCAAAGACTCTGAACAAAAGAAAACTAAGGGCTCCAAAGGTTATACTTGGGGAATATGAGTATTATGCCATTTGTTAATTGTTATGTTTGTGTTTTGTTGAGTTTGTCTGATGCATTTTATAATTTCTTTTGTGTTTTGTATCTTTTCGTATGGTGTTGTAATATTTTTTTTAAAAGCAACATATGATAAAATAAAAGTTCCATCTTTTGGTTATAAGAGTAGATTGGGTCAAATTGTTGTTTTGTTTTTCTTTCATTGGGTTTTGTTTGCAGGTTTAGGGTTATTAGCGATGCCGTCATTTGTTTGTTTGTTGGTTTAGCATGCCATAGTATGATACATGCTTTGATTTCTCTTTGTAAGATATATTGACGAAATATGGAGTATTGAGTTCAGAGATCCTCATAGAAGAAAGGAAACTACAAGAATTGACATTATGTCATAATCACCAGTTTTCTTTTCACATTTCAATCATACAAGTGTTATGATATGCATGAAATACAATATACAATTTTGCATAGTAAAATATCCACAAGTTTTATCACCATTATTAGACTAAAGTCACCTTAAAACATTAAGTAACTAAGACTTAAGTATGCTTTTGTCTTTTCTAAATCATTTAAGGATATCAATTTTTCCTTTAAAAATAACCTATAGAGTTAAAAACTCATAAGTAAGCCATGAACCCCATTAGGAAAAATCCACATGTACTCACTTTTTGTAGTTAGGGTCAATTAACAAATACATTTTCCTTCACTTGGTACTTCATGACCAATTTTCTACAATTCCTATACATACAATAGTTAATACTCATAAGAAATCATTTCTAGTAATAAGGGTCCAATTCAACCTATAATTTAGTTTTAGCTTTCGTCTATCTCATACCTTTTTCATGTCATAACTTTGAACCATAACTCACTACTTGCAACATGTTAAAAATCATGGATAACATGTTCATGTGATTTTAATTGATAAATATACTTGCTCACTTTCAATTATCTAGCAAATTACCAAGCTAGGGTTTTAGGTCAAAATCCACAAAGGCTAATGTCATAAAAACCCTTAAGTTTTCAGGGTTTTGTCGGTTTTGCCCAAAGTTAAATTTTATGTCCGTTTTTACCCTAACATTTTCCAAAAAATGTTCGGTTTTATCCTTTTACCGGTGATAACAGGTTACCATTATATTAACTTCGTAAAAAAAACCCTTAAGTTTACAGTTTTTTTTACGTTTTTACCCTTAAGTTTATAATTTTTTAACACTTTTACCTTATGTATTTTTTTTTTCATATTATACGTATTCAAGCAGAAAAATCATATTTATAAACGAAAATTTTTTAATTAAGTATTGTATTTACATTTTTTAATGTTAATTATATATATATATATATATATATATATATATATATATATATATATATATATGTGTGTGTGTGTATGTGTGTGTGTATGGATTTTTTTTTCTTGGATAAACCATTTAAGATGTAAAAAAAACAAATTAATATGTTTTTAGAACTACAAATACGTATTTTTATGTATTTAAAAATATACATATCAATAAAAAAAACTTGTTCATTCATAAACATGTTTATATAAGTATATACATATATTTTTAGAAGTGTAAATATGTATTTTGATATATGTTTTTTTTTAAGTATAAATAATTTTTAGAAGTATAGATACATTTAATATAAAAATGTAAAAAATATGTATTTATACTTCTAAAAACTATCTCTATAAAACACATATTCATAATTCTAAAAATATATTTATCTTTTTAAATGGTATAACCATGCAAAACACAAACACAAACACAAACATATATATATATATATCTCTATATATATATATATATCTATATATATATATATATTATAACATTAAAAAAAATAAAATACAATATTTAATTAAATATTTTTTCGTATATAAATACGATTTTTCTGCATAAATATGTATATTATGAAAAAAATTACTTCGGGTAAAAGTGTAAAAAAATTATAAACTTAAGGGTAAAAACGCAAAAAAATGGTAAACTTAAGGGTTTTTTTACGAATTTAATATAATGGTAACCTGGAAAACCTGTTATCACCGGTAAAAGGGTAAAATCGAACATTTTTTCGAAAATGTTTGGGTAAAAACGGAGATAAATTTCAACTTTGGGCAAAACCGACAAAACCCTGTAAACTTGAGGGTTTTAATGACATTAACCCAATCCACAATTCACATATCATATTCTATAAGCTTTAACCTTGATGTTTTATGGTAAAATATGTTTACTATACTCACTTCATCATCATAATTAAGACTTGTACTCATATACAAGACACATATTCCAAGGTTCATGAGTTTTCTTCCCTTTTACCCATCAAACCTTCAATTTTTACTTTCTTTATAGATAACCTGCTTTCATAATCTTAAACAACATGATCTAACATTAATTCTAACATACAATCATGCATCTTCAATTAGAATTCATGACCAAGTTACATGGACTGTATTTTCTATACATAGAGAAACACGGGTCGTGTTTGTTCCAGATGTCCCAACTTAGGCAATGTAATTTCATTAGCTCATGCAATATTTTTCCTCAATTGTAAAACTTTCATAACTCTCTAATACAAATTCATATTAGATTGATTATTTTTGCTAGGGGTTCCTTGTTATCTTGGTTGAATTTTAAAATAAAGAATCAATCTATTTGATGCATATAATTCTGAAATACATAGCCTCAAAAATAGGATAGGATATTAGGTATCGATATTGTCAGACACTAGTAAAAATTTATTTTCAAAATGTCATAACTTTTTCATTTTAACTTTAAAGGACTTGATTCTTTATGAATTATCTCCTTTATTATCTCAAATACATATTTTAACTTTTATATCATATTTATTATTTACTTATACTCAATTCCCATAACCCTACACATGGGTACTTATCAATTTTGGAACTTATATGTTTCACCAATTTCTCTTACATATTCATCGTGATTCTTACTATATGCATTATAAACTTATACACTTATATTAAGAACTGCATAAACAATATGGTCCAACATAAATTCATTAATTGGAAATCGTAATCCTTTTTGTTCCATAATGAATATGTACCAAAAGTTTTTATGTAGTTGTCATATCCTTGTTTTACTTCCATCTTAATACATAATGTATTTTATATTCCACCATAATATACTTAATT